ACTGTATTTAAAGGGCCGGAAGATTGAGAACCACTGATCCAGACAATGGAATAACATTTAGTGCTAAAAAGAAATGAGCTAACAAGCCATGCCAAGACATGGGGAAAACTTACGTGCATATTCTAATGAAGACAGCCATCTGAACAAGGTACACACTGTGACTCCAGCTCGACGACATTCTGGAAAAGACGGAACTATGGTCACAATATGAAAGATCGGTGGTTGGCAGGTTTGGGGAAAGGATGAGTAGGCGGAACACAGAGGATTTTTTAAAGCAATAAAATACTCTGTATAATATTAAAACGCTGATATGCTATCTGACTTTTGTACAAACCCGTAGACTGTGCAATACTAAGAGTGAGCCCTAAGGTAAGCTATGGATTTGGAGTGATTCTGAGGTGTTCGTGTAGGCTAATCCTTGGGAAAACAAAGTGCTAGTCTAGTAAATGGCGTTGATACGGGGAGGCTGTGCACGTGTGGGAGAGGAGGTGTGTGTGTGAAACCTCGCTACCTTCCTCTCAGTTTTAGTGTAAACCTGAAAGCGCTCTGAAAAACACAGGCTTTAAAGGTAGAAGAAACCGCTTCCTAAGCCATTGCACACCCCACAGACATGAGGCAGCTGTTCCCAGGCTGTGGGGGTGTTTGAGGAATAGTGCTTGGGGTCTGGATGGAAGAATAAGAGTGATGGTTCGGGCAGGAGACTGATTCTTGGAGAAATGGTTTTCACAAACGTGTTGACTCCGATGTGCTAATGAACAACGTGGGCCTGGTCCTCGCGTCTGAGAGGGAGCGGGTGCTTCCTCAAGGCCCCAGCACATTGCTAAAACCTGCAAAAATGGCCTCAGAACATGGAAATGGGAAACCAAATTTAGTTTTGCTTGTAAATAAGAAATATGCGGAACCCAAACACATATGTTCTGTGCTAAATGCTCCTCAGATTTGCACCATCAGAAAGTGGGATCTGCTAATTCCAGATCAAGGCGAGAGTTTGGGCCCATCTGCTTCTTTGCACAATTTGAGGATCTATCACTGTCTCAGGGGGAACAGAACCCCGAGCTCACTGCCATTGTAATAACTGTGTCCTTTATGGGGTACCTCTCACCCAAAGTCTCCCCACCCAGCTGCAGGCACCGAGGGTCCCATACCCATTGTGGGGAGAAGGGAGGCGAGGCAGCGGTTCCCCGTGAAATATTAAACAGTGACTGGGGATCAAAACAGAGAAGAAAATTGCATTCGTGAAACAGTGGGGAGGGAATACAGCAAAGACCACGGTTGCCTGGGATGAGATGGGAGGGACACGGAGGCCTGACCTGCGTGCACAGCAGCTGGGGGCCGCCCCGTGTCTTCCACGCAGTCAGCTTCTCTCCGGCCGCGGGTGCCGGCCATGACCCTGCAGGATGGGCACCAGCCCCGAGTAGCACCAGCTGGTGACCTTCCTCAAGGTCGCCCCTCCCAGAGGTGAGCAAGCCTGCTCTGTGCTGAGCACAGGAGCCGCAGGTTTGAGGTGCAGGGGAACCACTGGCAAGTCCAAGGCCACAGCGGGCAGGCTAGGCCCAGCCCCAGCCCCAGCCCCAGCCTGAACGCCCACCTGCCGGTACCCAGTCTCCTCTGCTGGACTAGGTTCCCATACTCCTCCCGATGAAGGAGCCAGGACCGTCCCCCCTGGGGACATCGCTGGTTTCGGATGGGAGGCAGGACGTGTGTAAGGATTCGATGCAGCCACACAACCACAGGCCCAGGGACGAGTACAGATGCCAGAAAACCCTAGAAACTTCACCCTTTTCTTCCACTAAAAGTGCTTTTGCTCCAACAGGCTGAGCAGCTCTCCACACGCATCTATTTTAGAGCCTGAATTTTCAGGACCGAAAGGTCCCGTCCACACTTCACTCACATCGAGTTGGTAGAAATGGACTCTTTGATGCAGGAATACTTTCCGAGTAGCCACCGACGCTCACTCCTTGGGAAGGTAACATTAAGATTTGACACCTTTCTTTGCTTTCAAATACCCTACAACATAAGGTTTAACGATTCCTACGTGACTCAGGGTCGCTGAGCATCCATCGCTTGGCTGTGCCATCACCGAGCAGCACGTCAGCCCCGACTCCGAGTGGCCTTGATTCTATGCCTTCGAAAACTTGTGTCTGATTTTCATAATTTTAGGGGCTCTCTCCACTTCCTGCCTCTTGCTGCTCAGAGCAACGCCCTGGTCCTTCCATTCTTCCCCCTTTCACTTGTAAATGTGCCACAATTATTTCCCAAATGTGTGTGAAGTGAGAGTAGGTTAGGGTCCTGAGCGAGCACTGAGGAGCCAACTTGACACAAAACCTATGACTTCCGAGTCATTGACCTTGAAAGACCTGACTACTTCATTTTTTTTAAAGATAGAACCTAGCATTTTATTTAGATCTTCATTCTACTGTTGGAATTGAGAACCAGACATACGTAATAAACCTCCAAAAATCGATCCTGAAAGGCACTTTCTGCTCAGGGCGAGCAGTCATGGAAGAAGCGTGTAAACAGCTGGCTTCTCTGTACCACCAGCCACCGTTTCACTTCTTAACTGGGCCCATTTGCAATCCAGATGGAAAGGCCACTGGTTAAGGGACGTCTCAGCACATGAAATGGGGTGGGAACAGGCCTGTCAGCTTCCTGGCTGCGGCTGGAATCTCTTCCAACAGGAGAACGAGTAATATGTACCTACTTCCCGGCGAGTTCAGTAACGCACAGGCCCTATTGACACACATGAAAAATGTTAACATAAGATTTTCAATTTCAAGATGAATTACTTCTCTGAAAGGTGTTTCCCAAGTGGACGATCAATGTGCACCTCTGTCCACAGTGGAGCGCCTCCTAGAGGCAAAAGGCTAGAAACAACTTACCCTAAAGAGGGGCTATGGCTCATCCTCATCGTGGGTAGTATGTCTCCTTGAAGAGGAGACAAGGCCGCGGTGATGAACCATAAGGGCGGCTCTGCCCTGAGCCGGTCGGCTGGACCCTGTGAGCAGCAGGCCGGCGGGCATCACACGATGGGCATTTGATCCTCCCTCTCCTGCCTGCTACCCGGTGGGCCAGCAGGAAGAAATGGGGCCACCTCCATCCCTTCGGAAATGCCTGGCTTTGCCCTCCTGGTGAGAAGCACCCACGAAGGCCTGGCGTGAGCTGCTCGCCATTTGCATCCGCAAGCGGTTCCGCACCTCGTGGGGAAGACAAATATTTAAATTCATAGGGTCAGTTATAAGAAGTGTATGATCAAAAGTATAGATATTTGGTCCCCAGGTTTTCCAGTTTCGGGAACCTATAAAATTATAAACATCCTATGATACAACGCTTCCATTATGTACTTTGTCAAGGGAGTCTAAGTAAAAACTATCCCTTACATCACCATTTCATAAAATAAAGCTCGTTAGACACCAAAAAAATAGGAAGTGCCTGATAGCGAGAGAGCAATAAGATCATTGCTTCTATTTCTAAATGTAAATGCAGATACCTTTTACCTTAAGAATTCCTGACATTTTATAACATGTCCTTTTTCTCTTTTCCATTCGGGGACTGTATTCATGCGGGCAACATGACGTGGACCTGGAATGCTCACCTCTTCCAGCCAAATCTCAAGTTCGGTTCCCTTCCCTGCGCGAGGGCCCGCTACTCCCTCCCGTCAGCGAGGGGGCAGGTCCAAGGGCAGGTTCCGCCGCCGCCGTGCTCCTGCCTCCAGGATTTCCCTTTTCTGTAAGTGTCCGGCTCCTGGCAAATCCCTGCTGGTCTGCATCTTCGTCATGTCCGTGGGTGTGTGACTCTCCGTCATGTCCACGGGTGTGTGACAGCAGGAGGGATCTTCCTGAATCTGTTCATCAAATGGCTAGAAACAGAACTCTATCCACAGTCTCGTTCTGGTCTCCTCTAACCACAATCACATGTCCCCGACTGCCTGGAAATGTTTCTATGTAAGCATAGCAGGTCTCCCCGCCCACCCCCCACCTGTAATATCTGCTTCAAAGGTGTAGGCACTGCCATCTCCCAGCTCCCTTTGCCCAAGGCATGAAGGTTGTCGAGCAGCTCCCCGCCTACCCACTCTCTCCATGCGACCCTTCTTTCCTGGTTGTCGAGACTTCTGATGCCCTGAATCACTGTTACTTCACTGAAACACTGAACACAGTGACTTGCCCTCAACTCCCAGACCCACTGGGCAAATCTCCAATCCTTGTTTAATGCAACATCCACTTTTTCTAACCACTCAGCCAACATACACACCTTTCCATATTTTAAATTTTAGTTTTCGATTATAGTTTACATTCAGCTAATGGTTGCCAGAAGGGAGAGGGTTGGGGGGCTGGTGGAAAAGGTCAAGGGCTTGAGAAGTAGAGATTGGTGGTCACAAGACAGTCACAGGAACGTGAAGTACAATATAGGGAATTACAGTCAATACTGTTGCAATAACTAGGGATGGTGGCAGGTGGGCACTTAAAACATCTGGGGGGATCACTATGTAAAGCATATGATAGCTTAACCCCTGTGGTGCGCACCTGAAACTGGTACAAAATAAGTGAACAAAATAAGCAACCTGAGTCAGGGATACTGTTAGAGAAAATGTGTTAGAAAATGTTCTCCATCGATTTTTGTCCTGAATCCCTGTTGCTTCCAGCTCCATCTCTCACTATTTCCTGCCTCACTTTTACCAAACACCTCACTGTCACTTCATAGAGAGAACAGAGGCCATGTGACCGATCTTTTACCTTCGGATCATCCTATCCCTCTACCCCTGTGTCTAAGTGGCCTTCTTCTTCACTTACACCATTGGAAACAGGTGAGTAACCTACCTAAGGCTCACCCGGATGCTGTGTCCATATTATCACACCTCCTTTAGTCAATCTCAAATTCATTCACTCATTAAGTATCTACTTTGTACCAGAGACCATAGGAGACATTGACAATACAATGATATTCAGTCTCCTACCTTAAAAACTTAGTGTTCAGTGGGAAGAGAAAGACAAAGGCATGGCCAATTACTATGCAAGCAATCTTATGAGAGCTATTATAGACACCCGACTTTCTGGATATGCAAATGTACTAATTAACACTCACTTAAAAATCAAGAAGGTATACAAATTGTCAGGGACCAAATTATTTTAATAATTCTAAAGTCTCCTTACTACCTCTTTCCTCAGTTTTCACTGAGGTAACTGGGTACCCATAACAACATGACATTCTGGTAACTTTAGCTTAAAATGAGTAGAAGCACAAGGCAGGCGCGGTGTGAGCAGGAAAGGCGGTGTTAATGATGCTACCAGGCAATTCGAGTAGCATGAAAAGCAAACCCTCTGAATTGCTAAACTTTAGAAACTTCCTCCTCCGCCACAGCCATTACCCTGGTTTCTATGCACTGCAGGTTGGAATGTGGCGTCCACATACCTTGAAATGAGGTGATTAAACAGCAACACCCTGAGCTGTTTTCACAGCCTCTGCTTCCTGGAGAATGCTGAACTGATCTGCACAGAAAGAACCGTGATCTGTATATACCTACCTGACAGGGGCGAGTGTGAGCAAATGCACACATTAATATGCACACATATGCATACACACAAGCTCATGGGCATGCAGGCACACATGTGCGTGTATCTTCACACACATTCAAACATACATATGAATCTACTCACCTGTGCATACATTTATATTCTTGAACTTAAAGCAAAGACTTTAACCCCAAAAGAGTGCAAAGTTCCTTCTGGCAGTCACAAGACATCATGCCAAAGAGAACAGAGAACACAGCTGAGAGGTGAAGCTCGAGGAATGTACTCAGGTACACACCAAGTTGTCATCTCACACGACTGACCATCACCTACTTACACCGGGAGAGCCGACTGAGGAGTAGTCCTTCCAAAGACATGCTCACCTAAAGACCATCACCTACTTACACCGGAAGAGCCGACTGAGGAGTAGGCTTTCAGAAGACATGCTCACCCAACACCTAGAATGTGACTTGATTTGGGAGGGAGGTCGTCGCAGATATGAAGATGCAGGTCGTGGGATGAGGTCATCCTGGAGGAGGGCCGGCCTGAAATCCATGGCAAGTGTCCTCGTGAGAGAGAGAGAAGGGGACAGGGAGACGGAGGCCACCTGATGATGGAGGCAGAGCCTGGAGCAACGTTGTCCGTCGACAAGGATTTGACACTTAAAGATTGTTCTCCAAAGTGATGAATAATAAGAACCTGTAACCGAGATTACTCCACCCAGCAAAGCTCTCATTTAGAACTGAAGCTCAAAGAGCTTCACAAACAAGAAAAAGCTAAAGGAGTCCATCGCCACCAAGCCAGTATTACATGAAATGCTGAAGGGCATTCCTGAGGGAGAGGAGATAAAAATATGAATAAAATGGCAACAAATACATATATGTCAACAATTGAATCTAAAAATCAAAACAAACAAGAAATCTAGTGAACAAAATAAACCGGTGAATAAAATAGAAGCAGAGGCAGGGAAGCATGGGACAGACTAACCAATCTCACAGGGAAGGGGAGAGAGGGGGCGGGAAGAGATTAACCAAAGATCTTACCTATGGACACAGACAGTAGGGTGCTAGAGGGGGGCAATGGGGGGAAAGGGGGGCATCTGTAATGTTCTCAAGAATAAAGATTTTTTAAAAAAGATTGTCCTCTGACCAAAGATGTTTCCGAAATCTTCAGTGGCGAAAACCCGAGAACAAGAAGTGGATACGCCTGTGCTCTCAGAGGGGTGTCAGGGTGGGCACAAGCAGGCCCTCTGGTCGGCAGGAGACACGCACGGAAGATGGGGACTCAACTACCAGCGTCAGCGAATGCCTTGCCCGGGCTGAGAAGCACGAATGGGGGCGAGTGATGAAACGGAACACGGGAGGGCACAGGGTAGCACAAAGCAGTGCCTGGACTTCAATTGCTCATTCAGGGGGACAGTGGGGACCTCCCGACCTTGAGAAGGGAAAAGGATGCTGAGGTGGAAGCTTTGCCTTCTTGTAACCACCAAGGGGAAGCTCCCGGAGAGCACAGCGGGAGCCTGGCCCGGTCACAGCACCGTGTCTGTCCCACTGCACCGTCACCTCCTCTCCCACTTCTCCTGGAGGCCCGACCTCCCCCGCTCGCAGGGAGGGCAGCATTCCCACTGAGGCAGCGGACACGTGTCTAGTTCCTCCAACTCAGTCACCTGAGGAAAGCCTGGAGGTTGTTCCACTAAGACAGTGGTTCTCAACCTTCTGGCCCTTTAAATACAGTTCCTCATGTTGTGACCCAACCATAAAATTATTTTTGTTGCTACTTCATAACTAATTTTGCTACTGTTATGAGTCGTAATGTAAATATCTGATATGCAGGATGGTCTTAGGCGACCCCTGTGAAAGGGTCGTTTGACCGCCAAAGGGGTTGCGACCCACAGGTTGAGAACCGCTGCACTCAGACTATCATGAAGGGGAAGAGCATGTCTTGTATGTAAGACAGTGGTTCTCAACCTTCTGGCCCTTTACAGTTCCTCATGTTGTGACCCAACCATAACATTATTTTCGTTGCTACTTCATAACTGTAATGTTGCTACTGTTATGAATCGTCATGTAAATATCTGATATGCAGGATGGTCTTAGGCGACCCCTGTGAAAGGGTCGTTTGACCGCCAAAGGGGTCGCGACCCACAGGTTGAGAACCGCAGATTTAAGAGGCTATAATGAGCGAGAGCGAGAGAGAGAAAGGGGGAGAAGGGAGGGAGGGAGAGAGGAAGAGAGAGAGGAGAGAGGACGCTGCCAGTAGGCAGGTATCACTGTGTTTCAGTCTGAGTTGTGACCGAGGTGACTCCATGTTCCCTTCTTAGTCCTTCATTGGGACATGACAGAAGACACCACCGTCTGAAGTTTCCAAATAAATAAAGTATAGGAGACACTCCCAACACCTGGGCGAGGCCTCTTCACCTGTCGGCGAATGGCCAGCGTCATGGTGCCTCTCCTCTCCTGCTGAGGAGACTAGAGCTCAGTCACCAGCTGCCCTCACTTCCGTGATGAGGAGAGCCAGGACGGCTCAGTGCTCACTACAGAGCTGGTGTGGGTGGTCTATCAATTCCCATCAACATCCCTGCAACACCCTCCGGGCTCACTGCCTTCTCCCTCACGTCTGGGTGATGTTTGGTCCAATGCCGACTCCCTAGAGGAGGACCTGGCACCCGGCGGCCATGGGTAACATGTGTTGGACAGATCTATCTGCTGGCCTCTACTCCACACTAGTACTGGTTCCAACATCCACTGGGGACCGTTAGGGTTCTGTGCCCCTCACTGACCCCCTGGCATTGTGACACCTTGTGGGGGTGACCAGACCCTTGGGAGGAAGGAAGAGAAAGACGGTGTAGGCCCCGGGATGGAAGGAAAGGAGGCGCTGGCCCTCACCCCCAGTTCCAGGCTAAAGATGAAGAAGGCTCAGCCGTTCTGAGCATGCCCGTTTGTCTCCCCCTCCCCCCTTCTTCCTTCCCTCCTTCCCCCTTCCCCCTTCCCCCTCCTCCTTCCTCGGAGGCTCTTTAATCATGTGCCTGTGTGTTCCCTCCCGCTAGGAAGTAAGCTTCTGCGCCAGGGCTCTGCTGAGCCACCCCCGGGGCCATCACGGTGCCTCACAAACAGCATTTCTCCGAAGAAACACTATTAAACAATATTTTTGAAAATGAAGCTTCAATAACAGAGCAGCAGAACTCACCGGGAAATGGCTTCTGGGAATCCAGCGAGATGCCATCCGTGGGAGCCTTGCTTTGAAGGCGGCACCTTCGGCCTGGCAGGTGTGGGCGGAGGGGAGCGGGGTTTGCCCATTAGAGCTTAATTGACTGCCTCTCTCCTTCCTTCCGGCTGAGCAAAGGGATGCGTGCAGCCCAATTAGCCTGCAGCTTCCTAGGATTTGGTTGTGCAGATATTTACACTCCTAATCTCCAGCAGGAACAGCGCATAATGAGTAAGGCCCGTGACTCACTCCCAGCCCGGCTCTGCCTCCCGCACGCCGCCGGGAACAGCTGCAGGGGCTTCTCAGAACACAGCCTCAGCGCTCCGTCCAAGTTTCCCGAGAGTGCCCGGTGCCCGGTGCCCGGTGCCCGGTGCCCGACAGGACAGGAGGCCGAGCTGTTGAGGGGCAATGGCTGTAGGTTTAGCTCAGGTGGGCTGGGTGCCCGGGGAGGAGAGGGGGCACAGGGGATCTTTCTGGAGAAGGGAAGTGTGAGGTGTAACAAAAACACTCTCTAATGTTCACTGAATTATTTCTGGTGTCAGGCATGGCGTGAGATGCCTTCCATTCATAATATTTCATCACAACAACTCTTTGGATGAAGTATGATTACCCACAATTCAAAGGAGCTAAGGGTTAGAAAGGTCACTGAGGTGCCCACCTTGGAAACTGACGTCTGGAATTAAGACCAGATCTGACCCTGTGCCCTTCACAGTGCTCGTCTGGCCCGAAGGAGAGGCTCAGACCCCAGACCCAGAATGGGCCCAGGCGCCTACCGATGTCCGTGGGAAAGTGCTGATGAGTAGAAGTTCCAGCTGGGGGTCATGTCCAGCCTTCAACGGTGTGGGGGAGGGACGGGCCGGGGCCCAAAGACCAGATTTAAAGGACATGTAAGATGTTAGGCTAAGAAGTTCCCTTGACAATGATGGGTAAATACTGAAGATTTAAAGCGACAGCACACTTAGACTTGCATTTTACAAAGAAATGGTGGCGGTGGCAGTGCCCTGTGGGCAAGGGAGCTCTGAACAGATGAGCTCCTGGTGCGCGTGTAGATCCCACTGTCCCGGATCACACCTGAGACCCACAGGGAGCCTGAAGCTCTTTAGACGCCGCCTGGTCTGGCAGGTGGATCAGGCCCAGGAGGGCCGCGTAGAGTCTGGAAGCTGGTAAGGTCTTAGCGGGTGTGGACAGGTGTCCTGGCTCGAGGACTTGGAATTATTTAATCGTTCTTGCAACCCGATGGGGAATGTCCTGGCCCAGGAGCCTGAGCTGGGGGCTGAGGTGGTGGGTCCTCCCTGCCCACTGCCGTCTGTCTCCCAGCTGGAGCACGAGGGTCTCGGGAAGCAAACGCGGCTTTCCCCAGGCTCTGGAGCTCTGCAGTAAGAAGCGTAAACTTCATTTTCACCCCCGTAATAAACTCTCATCAAAGGGCTCATTTGTCTCCGTCACTGACGGGCATGATCCACTCTCACATTGTAAATTTCCGTTCCTTATCAGACATTCAGGGCGCATGGCGTTGCTTTATTTGGGGCGCTACCAAATCCTGTCTCAAGGGATGCCTGTCCGAGGGACACAACACCAGGAGGATTTCGGATGGAAGAAGCCACAGGAGAGAGACAGGGGAGCGGGGCTGCTGTAGGCTCACTAGAGAGTCAGAGAAAAGGGGGCCTTGGGACAGGGTCAGGGGGTGAGCCTGGGACGAGCTGCCCATGGCTCCCCTGGTTGCGAGTCTCCCTGGGACCCTTAAGAGTTTAGGAGGTGCACACCTGTCGGGGAGGGGGAGGGGGAGAGAGGCAAGGGAGGAGACGCTGGGGCCTTAGGTTGGAGGGTGTTTGAGGCTGAGCCCAGGAGGGGCTTGGGGGAGGATGGCAGTGGACCTGTCATCGGCTTCCCAGGTGTGTCCTCAGGGCCGTGTCTCCCTGATTGGACGGCACAGGGGTCATCAGTCAGTGCAGCTGGTCCCGCACCGCCCGCCTGTTTTTCCTGCTTTTCTGGGCCTGGAGCTGAAATACCGCTGAGGCCTGGAGTTTGCCCCTGGAAAAGGTCAGGGGGGCTAAACCACTGGCCAGCGATGTGCCAGGAGAGGAAGGTCCCCTGGGGGAGGGCCAGCGGCAGTCTGGCCCCTTGCTGGGCACCGGGGCTTCTGCCTGTGGCCTTCTGTGTCTGCTGTGAGTTGCTGGGCCATGGCACGGCCATGGCAGACTCAGCCCCGAGGCGCCTTATGTGCCAGGCCAGACCTGGGTCTCGGTGGGACGCAGCTCCCTGATGAGAAGACAGTGCCCACAAGCCATGTCTTTATTTTATAGCAGATTCCAGGAGGCAAAGTAGGGGCGTGATCAAGATGTTTACAGCATTCTCATGGGTTTCGAATCTACTCAACTACATGCACCTGAACTCTATCACTCAGGCACGTGGGGCCATGTGTTCGGACCATAGGTTCAAGCTTACAACGACAGCTGTTGGCTATAATTGTGCTGAGAGGGCTCTGCCCTCCAAGCTGGGACTTGCAAGTGGCCATGAGAGGACTGTGCCCTCTCCTCAGTCCAAGGCTTGAACCTGTCCAAACACTGTAGCCGCG